GCCGGGTCCCCTGCGGTCCCGCTCAGTCCCTCCCCGGGACGCCCCTCAGGGCCTGTCGGGCCCCGGCCTGGTCACCCATAAATCGCCCTCACATTCCCATGGGTTTCCTCCCCCGGTCTTCTTCCAGGAACCCCCTGCTCTGTTCCTATGTCCTCATATCCCCTCTTCCAGGGCTTGGCACTGCTGTCCCCAGTATCCCCATCCCATGCCATGACACTTCAGCCCCACTTCCCAGATGGGACGTTACACCGGGCTCAACACCCCAAAGACAGAGATGGGAAGAACCAGGGGTTATGGGGCAGGACCCTCCATGACCCCAGGTGTCTTCTACCGGGGCCAGGGCCACCTCTAGGTGCCTGGCCTCTGTGCTCCCTTTTACTCCCAGATTCTTGCACCTGGGCTGCAATTTTTTTCCCCCTTCCTTTCATCTGTTGATGGAAATGATTTACAACCGGCTTACACGGGCTGCCTGATCCAGGCCTTCGTTGGATGGTCAGATTAACTGAGGGTCCTTCTGATAAAGATAATTACGAGGGGACTCCGCATTAACTTTGCATTATTAAAGAAAGACCCAAATCTCCCCTCGCAAGCTGTTCCTGGGATTAGTAGAACAATAACTTTCATTTAGGATAATTGCCGTGGCCAGCACTGGGGGCTGGCGGGGGGGACCCTCTAGACCATCATGCTTGGCACCAAAGAAAGGCAAATGGGTGTGCGGGGAATGGGAGGTGTGGGGTTGTCACACTTCCAAAACCACCAGTTCGGGGTCCCCATGTGCTCAGGATGCAGGGATGCTTGAGGCAATGCCACCCAGGGCTGCTCCCTGCCCAGGCACAGAGCACCCCAGGGTCCCCTTGGGCACCTTCACTTCTCCAGAGTGGTTTTGCTTCAGTTTTGCTGGAATAGGAGACTTTCACTGCTAGGCAGGGAGGATCTGCCACAGTAATTAGAAGCCATAATCCGGCCACCACCCACAACAAATTTCCTGTTCAAGCAGATATTAGTGGTTAAAACCCTAATTTTTGATGTTGTCCCCGAATCAGCTTGATTTCAGCAGTTTACATTGAGGCTGAGCTGTTGGGAGAGATGATGAAGCCTTAAATATGCATATGGCCTTGGCATTTGGAAAGTTTGGGGATAAAGCACATATAATTGCTCCTAATCAGTTTATGAAACATAAAAGCTCAAACCCAAGAGAAAGCCGATAGATGCTGAGATGGAAATAGCGATTAAATCTCCCCACGCTGGCGAGGTGGCCTGGATATGGCGCTACTGCCCGGGGCGGAGGGTGACCAGGGCTGTGCCACAGGGAATGGTGATGCACCAGCTCCTGGGACAGGGCCGTGGGATGGGGTGGGGGGACACACCTGCTGCCATCACTGGCTCCCCCAGCTGTAGTGAAGAGGGGCATCTCCACTGGTCCTTTGGACAATAAATCAGTTAAAGGATATCTTGATATATGCTCATCAGATAGGATTAGCTGGGATTAGACTAATCAGTAAATGTTTCTCTGCTCATTATTTTCCAGGGAAGATTTTCAGCTGATTCTCCGACGCCAAAAGATTATTAATCGCTTAAAGAGCAGAACATCAAACATCGCCCCTTGCTCTAATTTCCCTGGGGTTTGCCTGTGGGCAGGGTGCCTGTGCCAGCCAGCCCAGCATCCTGAGGGTTCCCCAGCACCCAGAATCTCCATGGGCCTCTACCAGAGCAGCCCAAGGCCACAGCACCCCACCCCCGATGCGGTCCCGTGTCCCAGGGGTGAGTGCTACCTGCAGCTGGTGCTGCACCCCCATCCCTTGCTCTCTGATCCCTGCTGCACCCTGCAGTACTAGGCACACAGAGAGGTGGGACAGTCCCTGAACAATCCCCTCCTCCCTGTGGCCGCTCCACCACCATGTCAGACACCTGCTATGACCTGTATCACCCTATGGGATGGATGCCACATTCAGGATAGGTGCCTGAATCTGTCCCCCTCAGACACGAGGAACAAGCCTTGCAAGTCCTTGCAACATTTTGGCAGACCCTCTTCAGCTGAGGATGGCTCCTGAGCCAGCGGCTGGTGGGTTTTTTTGAGTCCCTGTCTTTGCAGGGATATGAAGCTCAGGGAAAGCCCCAGAAGGATGTGGCACTGCAACCACCTGCTGTAGCAATGAGGAGGGGGTAGCAAGGAAAAGGTACTGAAGGGCCTGGTTTAGGGGATTAGTAATGGGATAAGACAGCTTTCACCTCCCTGGTTTAGATATGAATCAGGTCAATAATAAAGGACCATCTGACAGTTTCAGGCAGCTTAGGGTGGAAGAGGCTCCTGTGCTCCAGGCTGGATGGAGAATCCATCTCCAAAAGCCCAGCTCTTGCTGCACACTTGTCCATTGGACCTGCACCAGTAGTCACAGCCCGGTGCACCCTGCCAGCTCCACACCACACACCTGCATCAGCTCCTGGCAAACCAGCACGGGAGCAGGTTGGAGCCTAGCCCCCAGGGATGATGTTGAAGCCACAGCCCTTGGGTGCCTGCTGTGTAGGGCAAGCTCAGCCAGCCTGCTGGTGGCCGTGACGGACCTTGCATGGGGGTAGGGTGGCCCAGAAGTGGAGCGCAGCAGGGTAAGCAGCCAGCTGATGGCAACACAGGCAATTTGGCAGCGGTGGGAGCCTTGATAAGCACGGACAGAAGGAAAAGGTCTTTTCTTCCACCTCCTCCATGTCCTGCTGGGTACATGGGGATGTTGTGAAAATGTTGCCTCTGATACATGGATGAAAAGGAACTGAGAAACAGCCCATAACGAGGGGAGAAGGGAGCAAAGACAGGTGTGTTGCAGCCAATCACGTCCGTGCTTTGAAAGGCTAAATCCCCACCTCTGAGTTACAGGTGTGCCTCCTCCCCAAAATGCAGGCAATGAGACTTTCCTCAGGCTGCTGCCAGGGCTGAGTGGTGGATTGTGTGTGCACTTCTGGCCAGTTAGGAGGAGATATACATAATTGCCAAGTATCCTCCATTTTGGGGTGATGGATTTGCAGGGGCAGGCAGCATAGACAGGTTAAATGAATGAGGAAACCTGTGGTTGCTACACTGCCAGGCTGTGAGAAGTGCTTCATTTCTAGCTCAACTTAATGTGGGTGAAGTAAAAGGTTTGGAGGGTGAGCGCAGCCACAGCTGGCCATTCACACCACCTGCTTAGTTCTGTAGCATCCCCAGCCAAGCTTACTGCAAGTGTGTTTTCAGCCCTAATTTGGCACAGGGGATCCCTTTCCATGTCCCACTCTGCATGCCCTAGAGACATCCCTATTAATTCCTCCGCACAGATTTCTGTCTTAAGGCATTTGCCTTTGATTAAAACCAGAAGAGCAGTCACAGTTTAAGTGGAGTTTAAGAGCAAACCATGTGCCAATGCACAGGGCGCTCACATCTGGAGTGTCGCAGATTTAATCAAACTGCTGGGAAGTGCCGCACGCAGACAGCTGTCACAGCAGCCTGGAGCCCATCTCCTAATTAATTCCTAGCCAACACAGGGCAAACAAATGGCCATCAAGGTGCTACACCTACAACCTCGAATGAAGGTATGACTGGTGGTTGGTGAGCAAGGACAGCTCACCCCATGTATCTCCAGGAGCTATAGGTAATGTAGCCCGTGGAAAGCCCTGTTCCTGCTCCTAGGGAGGAGACTACCACCCGTCCCAGAGGTGTAAACCCTTATGTATGTATGGGAACAGGAGGGACAGAGCGTTCAGGAAGAAACCCAAGTGGACTAGGCACAACAGCTGCAGCTCTGATTTCTGGCTACTCCTTCAGCTGGTGCTTTTTGCTTTCACTCCTTTTGCTTCCTCCACTCTTATTGCTTTCTAGTACCATTTACCTGCCCAACTCACACCCCTGTGGGCAACCCCCTCTTGTCCTATACAGGATGTGTGAGCTGGGACACAGCCCTCCCTGGAGATGCTCTTCCTGGTGGTACCCAGGGCCCTGCACCTGCCATAGGTCTTGGGCAAACTCCATTTGCTTCCACAGCCTTCCGCAAAATCTGGGCAATGGCAAAACAGGTCAGGTCCAGACTCGGTTCTCCTTGGTGCTCATTCACAGCTCATTAAAGCTAATCGAAATGACTACCAAAGCTGAGTCTATATGGGTGCTTGGAATCTCTGGGCACAAGGCATAGCTAGGCTGGGAATATCCAACTGTGAGAAGCCCCAAACTAGCCGATGGACTGTCCACTCCAATTAGCCCCACAAAGGAGCTATTATTCCTCCACACTATGCTTGTCTGATTACTTTATCTTATTATTTTTTTGATCATTCCTCCAAAATGTGCTAATTAAACAGAAATCATCAAGTCAATTACTGAAACACTCATTAAAGCAGAAAAGAAAAGAAAATATCAGCAGAAGAAAAACGTCTGGGAGGCTCCCAAGCACACACAATAGCTGCCACATTCATTAAATCAGCATCTCCCAAAAGAGGGGTAGACATTGTCCCACTCTGCTCCGTGCCCTGGAAATGAAACTTCCCAAAAGATGGAATCAGATTTCCTTTCCTTTCTTATTTCTTTTCTCTTTTCTTTTTTTTCTTTTTTTTTCTTTTTTTTTCTTTTTTTTTCTTTTTTTTCTTTTTTTTTTTTTTTTTTTTTTTTTTTTTTTTTTTTCTTTTTTTTTCTTTCCTTTCCTTTCCTTTCCTTTCCTTTCCTTTCCTT